CGATAAAGGAAGAAGTAAAGAAGTAAGGGTGTACATATAAAAAAAACCGATAAGGAAATAATAATTTTAAAAACGAATTGGTTTTAAAAACTGCGATGTTTTTCCAGAAATTAAAAAAAAAAAATAGACAAAAATATTAAGAATCCAAATTTTTTAAAGAGTAAGGAAATCCATACGTATGAATCGGTTGAAGAAAATGGAAAAAGAACTAAAGCATACATAAAAACTTTGAAGAAAGCAATGAAGAAACAAGTATGTAACTACAAATAAATACGTGAGAAAACAATAACAAAATAAAAATGAAAAAATTAACATGAGGAATAAACATAATGTCATTTTTTTATGTGAAACCTTCTCCGGGGTCCCGACTGTCTCTTTTAAAAATGTAAAACCTTCTCGGGGGCCCCAAATGTCTTTTTTCTTAATGAGAAATTTTTCGGGTGTCCCAACTGTCTTTTTTAAAAATGTAAAACCTTCTCGGGTGCCCCAAATGTTTCTTTTAAAAATGTAAAAGCTCCTCGGGCGCCCCAAATGTCTTTTGTTTTAATGTGAAACCTTCTCGAGTGTCCTAATTGTATTTTTTAAGAGGTGAAACCTTCTCGGGGACTCCAAGTGTTTTTTTTTATAATGTGAAACCTTCTCAGGGGTCCCAATTGTATTTTTTTTAAGAAGTGAAACGTTCTCGGGGGCACCAAGTGTTTTTTTTTTTTTAAGAAGTGAAACCTTCTCAGGGATCCCAATCGTATTTTTTTAAGAGCTGAAACCTTGTCGGGGACAACTGTTTTTTTTTAAGAAGTGAAACTTTTTTCAGGGGTCCCATTTGTCTTTTTTAAAAATGTAAAACCTTCTCGGGGGACCTAAATAACTTTTTTTTAATGTGAAACGTTCTCGGGTGTCCCATCTGTCTTGCCTAAAAATGTAAAAGCTTCTAGGGCGCCCCAAATGTCTTTTGTTTTAATGTGAAACCTTCTCGAGTGTCCCAATTGTATTTTTTTTAAGAGGTGAAACCTTCTCAGGTGTCCCAATTGTATTTTTTTTAAGAGGTGAAACCTTCTCGGGGTCTCCAAGTGTTTTTTTTTATAATGTGAAACCTTCTCAGGGGTCCCAATTGTATTTTTTTTTAAGAAGTGAAACCTTCTCGGGGCCACCAAGTGTTTTTTTTTTAAGAAGTGAAACCTTCTCAGGGATCCCAATCGTAATTTTTTAAGAGCTGAAACCTTGTCGGGGACAACTGTTTTTTTTTAAGAAGTGAAACTTTTTTCAGGGGTCCCATCTGTCTTTTTTAAAAATGTTAAACCTTCTCGGGGGACCCAAATAACTTTTTTTTAATGTGAAACGTTCTCGGGGGTCCCATCTGTCTTGCCTAAAAATGTAAAAGCTTCTAGGGCGCCCCAATTGTCTTTTGTTTTAATGTGAAACCTTCTCGATTGTCTCAATTGTATTTTTTTTAAGAGGTGAAACCTTCTCAGGTGTCCCAATTGTATTTTTTTAAGAGGTGAAACCTTCTCGGGGACTCCAAGTGTTTTTTTTATAATGTGAAACCTTCTCAAGGGTCTCAATTGTATTTTTTTTAAGAAGTGAAACCTTCTCAGGGATCCTAATCGTATTTTTTTAAGAGCTGAAACCTTGTCGGGGACAACTGTTTTTTTTTAAGAAGTGAAACTTTTTCAGGGGTCCCATCTGTCTTTTTTAAAAATGTAAAAGTTTCTCGGGGGCCCCAAGGGTTTTTTTTTTAATGTGAAACCTTCTCGAGTGTCCCAATTGTATTTTTTTTAAGAGGTGAAACCTTCTCGGGGACTCCAAGTGTTTTTTTTTATAATGTGAAACCTTCTCAGGGGTTCCAATTGTATTTTTTTTAAGAAGTGAAACCTTCTCGGGGGCACCAAGTGTTTTTTTTTTAAGAAGTGAAACCTTCTCAGGGATCCCAATCGTATTTTTTTAAGAGCTGAAACCTTGTCGGGGACAACTGTTTTTTTTAAGAAGTGAAACTTTTTTCAGGGGTCCCATCTGTCTTTTTTAGAAATGTAAAACCTTCTCGGGGGACCCAAATAACTTTTTTTTAATGGGAAACGTTCTCGGGGGTCCCATCTGTCTTGCCTAAAAATGTAAAAGCTTCTAGGGCGCCCCAATTGTCTTTTGTTTTAATGTGAAACCTTCTCGAGTGTCTCAATTGTATTTTTTTTAAGAGGTGAAACCTTCTCAGGTGTCCCAATTGTATTTTTTTTAAGAGGTGAAACCTTCTCGGGGACACCAAGTGTTTTTTTTTATAATGTGAAACCTTCTCAGGGGTTACAATTGTATTTTTTTTAAGAAGTGAAACCTTCTCGGCGGTACCAAGTATTTTTTTTTTAAGAAGTGAAACCTCAGGGATCCAAATCGTATTTTTTTAAGAGCTGAAACCTTGTCGGGGACAACTGTTTTTTTTTTAAGAAGTGAAACTTTTTCAGGGGTTCCATCTGTCTTTTTTAAAAATGTAAAAGTTTCTCTGGGGCCCCAAGGGTTTTTTTTTAATGTGAAACCTTCTCGAGTGTCCCAATTGTATTTTTTTTAAGAGGTGAAACCTTCTCGGGGACTCCAAGTGTTTTTTTTTATAATGTGAAACCTTCTCAGGGGTTCCAATTGTATTTTTTTTAAGAACTGAAACCTTGTCGGAGACAACTGTTTTTTTTTAAGAAGTGCAACTTTTTTCAGGGGTCCCATCTGTCTTTTTTAAAAATGTAAAACCCTATCGGGGGACCCAAATAACTTTTTTTTAATATGAAACCTTCTCGGGGGTCCCATCTGTCTTGCCTAAAAATGTAAAAGCTTCTAGGGCGCCCCAAATGTCTTTTGTTTTAATGTGAAACCTTCTCGAGTGTCCCAATTGTATTTTTTTTAAGAGGTGAAACCTTCTCAGGTGTCCCAATTGTATTTTTCTTAAGAGGTGAAACCTTCTCCGGGACACCAAGTGTTTTTTTTTATAATGTGAAACCTTCTCAGGGGTTACAATTGTATTTTTTTTAAGAAGTGAAACCTTCTCGGCGGTACCAAGTATTTTTTTTTTTAAGAAGTGAAACCTTCTCAGGGATCCAAATCGTATTTTTTTAAGAGCTGAAACCTTGTCGGGGACAACTGTTTTTTTTTTAAGAAGTGAAACTTTTTCAGGGGTCCCATCTGTCTTTTTTAAAAATGTAAAAGTTTCTCTGGGGCCCCAAGGGTTTTTTTTTTTAATGTGAAACCTTCTCGAGTGTCCCAATTGTATTTTTTTTAAGAGGTGAAACCTTCTCGGGGACTCCAAGTGTTTTTTTTTTATAATGTGAAACCTTCTCAGGGGTTCCAATTGTATTTTTTTTAAGAAGTGAAACCTTCTCGGGGGCACCAAGTGTTTTTTTTTTAAGAAGTGAAACCTTCTCAGGAATCCCAATCGTATTTTTTTAAGAGCTGAAACCTTGTCGGGGACAACTGTTTTTTTTTAAGAAGTGAAACTTTTTTCAGGGGTCCCATCTGTCTTTTTTAAAAATGTAAAACTTTCTCGGGGGACCCAAATAACTTTTTTTTAATGTGAAACGTTCTCGGGGGTCCCATCTGTCTTGCCTAAAAATGTAAAAGCTTCTAGGGCGCCCCAATTGTCTTTTGTTTTAATGTGAAACCTTCTCGAGTGTCTCAATTGTATTTTTTTTAAGAGGTGAAACCTTCTCAGGTGTCCCAATTGTATTTTTTTTAAGAGGTGAAACCTTCTCGGGGACACCAAGTGTTTTTTTTTATAATGTGAAACCTTCTCAGGGGTCCCAATTGTATTTTTTTTAAGAAGTGAAACCTTCTCGGGGGCACCAAGTGTTTTTTTTTAATAATGTGAAACCTTCTCAGGGGTCCCAACTGGCTCTTTTAAAAATGTAAAACCTTTTCGGGGGTCCCAAATGTCTTTTTTTTAATGTGAAATCTTCTCGGAAATCCCAAATGTTTTTTTAGACTATGAAACCTTCTTGGGGGTCTCAACTGTCTCTTTTAAAAATGTAAAACCTTCTGGGTGGCCCCAAATAGGTCTTTTCCTTTTAATGTGAAACCTTCTCAAGGATTCCATCTGTCTTTTTTAAAAATGGAAAAGCTTCTCGGGGGCCCCAAACGTATTTTTTCAGATGTCCCATCTGTCTCTTTTAAAAATGTAAAACCTTCTCGGAGGCGCCAAATGTTTTTTTTTTTTTTAGAATGTGAAACCTTCTCGGGGGTCCCAACTGTCTTTTATAAAAATGGGAAACCTTCTCGGGGGCCCCAAGTGTCTTTTTTGAAACCTTTTCGATGGTCTCAACTGTCTTTTTTACAGGCGTAAAACCTCAGGAGCGCCAGATGTCTTTCTTTATGTGAAACCTTTTCGGGGCTCCCAACTTTTTTTTAAGAGGGTGAAACCTTTTTTTTCTCTTACATTGTGACTAGCTTCTGTTGTTTTTACTCCATATATGTTAACACGAAAAAGTAAAATTCTGCAAAATCAAATTTTATAATTTTTCAGAGACGCAGTATTTGTTGGACTGTACTTCAGAAGTGAGGGAAGTTCTGTCGAAATAACCAATTTTTTCATTCATAACAGTGAACCTCGCCTGCGGCTCTGTTTTGGAACAGTATGTGAGCCGTAGGAGGGCACATAAAAATATTCCACATACTGTAAACATTAATACTTTGTAAATATTGTAAATATCACGTAGTGTAGCTATCTCAAAGAAAGAACTAAGCATTTTTAACTTGTAAAATGGGACAATAAAGCTCGCCTGCGGCTCGGCCTTGGATCTAGGCAAACCCATTTCTCGCCGATTGTTTACATTCTCACAGAAAAAGTAAAAAACCACAAGAGTTTTTAGCAGCCAAACATAACCTCGCAAAATGAAGAACCAAGAAACGAAGAACCGAAGAAACCTTCAAGAAATAGATGCATCCTTTTAAAGGTCTTCCGCAACGCAGCAATGACGTTTTCCATCACTCAGTCATCGACTTATTCACCTTCCCCGGTTCTTCGGGCCCCACCTGTCATCAAAGCCACATACCTCCACACCGAGGTAGAACACTCAAGTGTTCTTCACCGCCGCGTCCCGTTATTCGACCAGTCTTCCGAAGAAACCGCGCCGCGCACCGTCCAGGTGCTGCCAAAACGAAGAAAAGTCGCGAAAAAGTCGGGAAAAGTGCCCTGTGAAGAAAGCAGAGCCGTCTCTACCGAAAAAAGAAAGTTTCGTTGCAGTTCTAGTGCAGTGACGGACTCCAGCGGCTCCGTTCCGGATGACCTAAATACCCTCCTTGACACCGTGTCACGCTTATTGTTCGCACCGGATCTCGCCTTGGGGGCGGCGAGGAAATGCCCCTTGAATCGCTGGGATCGCGCGTTCGGGGGTTGAGCGAGAAGGAGTGATGTGATTGGTTTGAGACAACATGGCTGCGTTTCTTGTGGTTCTGATGGTGTTTGGGTGCTTCGTGGTTCAAGGTAAGCATCCGGGATACGTCATGGGTGAAAGCGAAGGCATGCGGGTTTTGCCCAAATTTCCCCATTTCGCGGATGAATTTGGGTTTAGAAATGCATCCGGATCATGGGGGTACTCATTGTATGCGGAATGAGTAGACGAAACGAGAATGAGCGGTGAAAGCGGCGTCGTGGTTGGGTTGAAAAATACTGGCCTTATTCGTGGTGTCAACAATTGCGGGAAATAAAACGACCAAAAACGGGTACGGAGATGCTCTTATTTGCTTTCCCGGGTTCTACAACGCTCCATTAATTGCGAGGAATTGGCTGGGTCTGGGCGTGATTTATTTGGGACGTCGATTTGCGGACCCATAATTTGGTGGGTTTTGATGGAAGGGCGATTTTTGGAGGGCGCGATTTGGCACAGTTACCACAGGCATTGTTTGGTTGTGACAGTTTTTTAATTACGGAATTCCGCCGATCTCACGATGCTGTTTCGTGACTTGAAGTCTTATTTAGCTTAATTGGGTCATTTTAGAGTGCAAGTTGTAATTTATTTGTGAAGAAATTCAAAAACTAGTTATTAGGGGCTCAGGAAAGTAAACTTTGTCTAGAGATGAACGACTAGTTTGAACTAAATACATACTTAGAATAATAAAATGTCTAAACAGTTGAGCTAAATTTACGAAAAACAACACCCGTAACCCAACAGTAGTCAATTTTTACTAATTGCACATTTTTTTCAATCATCCCCTCCAACAATTTGATTACGTCATCTCTAAAATTTACGATGGTAAATTTATTTTTATAAAATAAGACACGCCTGCACTTGTGGTATATACTATCTTAAATTTTCATTCTAGACATCCAGAACATTTTGCAATTTAACTTTGAAACTAATCAAAATTGATTCGTTTATTCCCTTCCAAAACATTGATGACGTCATTTCAAAATTTTGCCTAAGCAATCCTCTCCAAAGTATGCAAAATATTATGACTCTGTACTAGTAGTTTATCAAGTGCACTCATAGGTTTTAGAAGTACTTAATCAGGGTGACTCAAAAAAAAAATTAAACCTACACTCCATCTATCCAAATTGATATATGTATCCTTACGTTGATGACGTCATCGTAAAATTTTGTAATGAAAAGACTCACTTTAAACAAAATTCGCAAAATCAAAACTTATAATTTTTCGAAAAATCTGGGTTTATTTATCTTCGACCAATTTGTGGATATCATAATTTTTCGTTTTTCCATTTTGTTTCATTGTTGGATTTTTTAATTTCTCAATGTTCGGGTTTCATAATTTTTTTTTTAATTTCTCAAACTCCAAATTTTTCAATCTTTAGTTTCTTTAATTTTTCGGTTTGCAATTTTTCGATATTACAGTTTTTCATTTTTCGATTTTTCAGTTTCGATTTTCAATTTTGTAATTTTTCGTTTTTTCTTGATTTTTATTTTTCACTTTACCGCTTTTTAAAATTTTTTTCCGAATTTGAAATTTTCTAATTTTGGAATTTTTGGGTTGCTCGATTTTCAGATTTCTTTGATTTTCAATATTTCCATTTTAAAAAATTTTTAATTTTTTCGATTTTGCAATTTTTCGATTTTTTAGTTCCTCAATTTTTAATGTTTCACTTTTGTAATTTTTCGATTATTCAATTTTTCAAACTCTTGATTTTTATTTTTCATTTTGCCGATTTTTTTATTTTTTCCAATTTTTAAATTTTCCAATTTTGTAGTTTTTCGATTTTTCAGTTTCTCAATTTATAATTTTTCAATTTTGTAATTTTTCGTTTCATCAATTTTTCAAGATCTTGAATTTTGTTTTTTATTTTCCGGATTTTTGATTTTTTTTCCAATTTTTAATTGTTTCGTTTGTGCACTTTTTCGATTTTTCAGTTTCTCAATTTCTAATTTTTCAACTTTGTAATTTTTCGTTTCCTCAATTTTTCAAGATCTTGTTTTTTACTTTAATTTTCTTGATTTTTTGAATTTTTTCCAATTTTTAAGTTTTTCAATTTTGCAATTTTTGGATTTCTCCATTTTCCGATTTGTTTAATTTTCAATATTTCGATTTCATAATATTTTTCGTTTTTTCGATTTTCCACTTTTTCGATTTTTTAGTTTCTCATTTTTTAATGTTTCAATTTTGTAATTTTTTTTTATTTTTTTCCAATTTTTAAATTTTCCAATTTTGCACTTTTTCGATTTTTCAGTTTCTCAATTTTTTAATGTTTCAATCTTGAAATTTTTGTTTCCTCAATTTTTCAAGATCTTGATTGTTATTTTTCATTTTTCCGATTTTTTAAATTTTTGTCCAAATTTTAAATTTTCCAATTTTGCAATTTTTGGATTTCTCGATTTTCAGATTTCTTTGATTTTTAATATTTCGATTTCATAATATTTTTCGTTTTTTCGTTTTTGCACTTTTTCGATTTTTGAAGATCTTGATTTTTTTCATTTTCCAAATTTTTTTGATTTGTTTCAAATTTTAAATTTTCTAATTTTTCACTTTTTTGATTGTTTAGGTTCTCAATTTTTAATGATTTAATTTTGCAATTTTTCGTTTCCTCAATTTTTCAAGATCTTGTTTTTTACTTTAATTTTCTTGATTTTTTGATTTTTTTCCAATTTTTAAGTTTTTCAATTTTGCAATTTTTGGATTTCTCGATTTTCCGATTTGTTTAATTTTCAATATTTCGATTTCATAATATTTTTCGTTTATCGATTTTGTACTTTTTCGATTTTTTAGTTTCTCAATTTTTAATTTTTCAATTTTGTAATTTTTCGTTCCCTTAATTTTTCAAGTTCTTGATTTTCATCTTTGATTTTCCCGATTTTTTAAATTTTTTTCAAATTTTAAATTTTCCAATTTTGCAATTTTTGGATTTCCCCATTTTCAGATTTCTTTGATTTTTAATATTTCGATTTCATGTTTTTCGTTTATTCGATTTTGCACTTTTTCGATGTTTGAATATCTTGATTTTTTATTTTTTTCAATTTTCAGATTTTTGAATTTTTTTCAATTTTTAAATTTTCCAATTTTGCGATTTTTCAGTTTCTCAATTTTTTAATGTTTCAATTTTGTAATTTTTCGTTTCCTCAATTTTTCAAGATATTGATTTTTATTTTTCATTTTCCTGATTTTTTGAATTTTTTCCAATTTTTAAATTTTCCAATTTTGCACTTTTTCGATTTTTCTGTTTCTCAATTTTTAATTTTTCACTTTGTAATTTTTCTTTCTCTCAATTTTTCAAGATCATGATTTTTATTTTTCATTTTCCCGATTTTTAAATTTTTTCCCAATTTTTAAATTTTCCAATTTTGCAATTTTTGGATTTCTCGATTTTCAGGTTTCTTTGATTATTAATACGTACATATTTTGATTTCATAATATTTTTCGTTTTTTCGATTTTGCACTTCTTGGATTTTTAAAGATCTTCATTTTTTTCATTTTTCAGATTTGTTAACCTTTTTCCAATTTTGCACTTTTTAGATTTTTCAATTTCTCAATTTTGAATGTTGTAATTTTTCGTTTCTTCAGTTTCTCAATTTTTAATGTTTCAATTTTGTAATTTTTTGTTTCTTCAATTTTTTAAGGTCTTTATTTTTATTTGTCATTTTCCGGATTTTTTTTGTAATTTTTTCCAATTTTCAGATTTTCCAATTTTGCATTTTTTAGATTTTTCAGTTTCCCAATTTTTAATTTTTCAATTTTGCAATTTTTCTTTCTCTCAATTTTTTCCCGATTTTTTAAATTTTTTCCAATTTTTAAATTTTCCAATTTTGTAATTTCTGCATATCTCGACTTTCCGATTTCTTTGATTTTCAAAATTTTGCTTTCATAATATTTTGCGTTTTTTCGATTTTGCACTCTTTCGATTTTTCAGTTTCTCAATTTTTCATTTTTGTAATTTTAATTTCCTCAATTTTTCAAGATCTTGATTTTTATTTTTGATTTTCCCGATTTTTGAAATTGTCTCAAATTTTTAAATTTTGTCATTTTTCGTTTCCTCAATTTTTCCAAAATCTTGATTTTTATTTTTGATTTTCCGGATTTTTTCAATTTTGTTCAATTTTTAAATTTTCCAATTTTGGATTTCTCGATTTTCGGATTTTTTTTATTTTCAATACTTCGATTTCATAACATTTTTAGTTTTTTCGATTTTGCACTTTTTCGATTTTTAATTTTCTCAATTTTTGATTTTTCGATTTTTCAATTTTTTCTTTCATAATTTTTTTTAAACTTTTTTATATTTTTATTTTTGATTTTTCAGTTGTACAATTTTGCATTTTTTCCGTTTTTTTGATTCGAAAAGTTCAAAAATGGAAGAATTAAAAATCGCAAAACTGAAAAACAATCTTGAAAATTGCAAAATTGGAAAAGTGGAAAATCGAAAAATGTAAACAGTGAAAAACTCAAAATTGGGAGACTTAAAAATCGAGAAACTTAAAACACGAAAAAAATTAGGAAAACCCACAAATTTTAAAATTTATAAATAATAGAATCCTCAAAATTGTAAAGTCGAAAAACTGCAGCATTGAAAAATCGAAAAATTGGAAAATTAAATATGGAGAAATCGAAAAATCCAATATTTGAAAAAATTCACATTAAAAAAAGAATCAAAATCAGAACACTGAAATACCGAAAATTTGAAAAAATAAAGAAAATAAAAAACAGACACCAAAAATTAAAGAAAAAATCTAAAAAGTGAAACATCCAAAAGTTTGAATATCGAAAGACTGAAAAATTTATAAGTGAGAACTCAAAGAGATGCATGTCGTAAAATTGAAGAAACAAAAAAATAAAAAATCTAAAAATAGAGAAAATAAAAAAACCGAAACGAAAAATTGCGAATCGAAAATCTGAGAAAATAAAAAATTGGTGAGTCGAAAAACTGGAAAATTGGAAATTGAAACCTCGAGAAATTTTAAATCAACAAATTGAAAAATTGAGGAAAAAAACTAAAGAATCGAAACACTGAAAAATCGAATAATTGAAAAAATAAAAAAAATAAAGAGCCGTAACGAAAAATTCAGTTCGAAAAACTGAAAAATTAAAAACTGAAAACTCGAGAAAGTCAAATGGAAACATTCCAAAAACAAAAATAAAAAAACGAAAAATTGATAATTTGGAAAATTTAAAAATTGAAAAATTGGTTGGCCACTGGTTTTTACTTTGTAGAGGTTATCAGAAAACAAAAATAAATCCTAATATTTTTTTATAATTTTTCAAAGAAGCCAATTTTTTTAAGTTTTTTAATAAAAAAAGATAATTCTGAATGAAGAGTTTGCTATACTTTAAACAGTCTTAAAGTTCTGAAAGGCGAGTCTTGTTACATAAATATAAAAAGTTTGTTTTTATTGGCGCTCGCCTGCGGCTCGTACTGCTATCATAATAATATATTACATATACGACCGAGCCGTAGGCGAGGTTTACCGTCTAGTCCTGCAAAAAAGCTTAATTAGAAATTAAAAATGTAGTTCAGTGTTATAAAAAAAATCTCGTTATAAAATATCGAATAATTTAACTCGTTTTCGACAGTGCTGGAAATTCAGACTATTAAAAATCAACTATAATAATCGTTGTTTGTGATTTTTTTGTCAGGTTGGCAAGACATTTAAAATTGTATGATGCCATACCTGTCAAATAGAATTTTCATGTCAAAATTAACATAATAACACTGCTGCCAATAATTCAGAATTGCCAACCCAAAAATTAGCTTCGATTAATAGTTGTTTGGTGTAAACGAACTCAAAAAAATTAAGTTTATTTTCGGGTATACGAACGAAACCTTAACTTGGCAAACGAAATATCGCCTACCCACTTACCTCAAACCGCTTTGTTCGAGCATTGAAAGAAGTGTTTTCCGTTCACATTATTCACAATCGGGTACTTGAACTTCGGAATAATGAACCGCATTTCGAAATAAGCATTGTAAGGAGCCGTGCGTTCGTTATGCGGTTAGAAAAATCCAAACCCGATCCTTATCAAATTACAACACGAATTCCCAAACTGGCTTCACCTCCTTTCAGCCTCAAGTTCAAGAACAAATCTGTTTATACGCAGATTGCGCAACGAAATTGATGAACCTAATAATCCCCGTGACCTCTAACGGACACGCGTCTGAAATTACCTTTTGTGAGTGCGATTCCTGATTAGATGGGAAAACGAACTGCTGGAACTCAACCTTACCGGAGTATTAATTAGAAAATCATTATTTTGAGGTGACCGCTACGCCGCTGCTAAAGAGAGCAGAAACAATTCTTTCCCTCGTTATGTTCCCCGTAATTTGATTTACAATAATTAGTGGAACTGTTAGCGACGCCGTATGAATTTGTATTTATTTTTCTCGAAATTACAATGCAGCGTGTGTAGAATTGATGCAGAGGCACGCCTTCGGTCATTAATAACGGTGTTAACGGTACAATAAAAATAACTCGGAATTGTAAGAACAGAGACATTTAATTACAGTTAATTGATTTTCCAGGATTCGACGGATACTCCAACTCGTTCATCTCGCCCAATTCCGCACAAGTGCCGCCACCGGTGGGGGACCAGCCGGACTCAGGTGCGTCAAAAAGCCGTTCTTCTTTATTACCCAGCTTTTTCTAGGTCACACCTTAAGGCTCTTCCAGTCATTAAAAGATGCCGAAACAAGGCAAAACGACAACGCATTTTGCGCCTTCGTTTTAACAGTTGAAGAGCGTATACTCCTGATATAATAATGTTTTCCGGTGATAGTTTATTAATGAGGGTTATTAATGCATGATTTTAGGCAACCAGATATACACCCCTACCTGAAATGTCATATTTCTAGTTTTCAAAAATTTCCTGAAACACGATTCAAAACGAAGAATTGTATAGAAATTGATTTCTAACGTCTCCGGAAGTAGAAAAGATAGCACATGTGCCTTGACTAAATTTACTGCCAGAAAAAAGCAAAGTCAAAAAAATTGTCATGAGTTTGCTGGGTTCGTCTTACTTTCATTCTTCCTCGAAATTTCCCAAAAAGGCTTAGTAGCAAGTATTCTAATGCTTCCGTCCACTATAAGCATCCATCATGGTTTGGACATATCCAAATTTAATAAACTAATATGTAATACTCCCATTTATCAGCCCCGTAGCTACGGGGGGCAAGAGGGGGCTGAGCCCCCCCTAGCAGTTGTGGTTGCCCCCCCTTGAAGACTTATACATTATAAATTTCAAATTAGTAATAAAATTTCAATATAATGCCGATTGCCGAAGCATATTAACTGGCCCCACCCGCCCCACCTTTATTTTCTTACAGGGTATATTATTTGGCAATATCACACTACCGTTGATGTTGACCGTATAAAAAAATGAACATGTCACATTTTATTCCATAGCCTACTATGTACTTGAGAAAAGTCAAAAATATTATATGGATTTTCTAAAAATTGAGCTTTTATTGAAATGGACAAAAAATCGACAAAAAAATCTGAGATGTAGATCTCGATGAGCTTAATCAAAAAACATAAGGTCTTGATGGTCCCAGACCAAGATTTTTCAAAAATTCGGTTCCAAAGTCGACATTTCAAACTTTCTCAAAAATTACATTTCTTTTGGCGGCTCTGGAAAAATTGTACGAATTTTCGAAAAAATAAAACCAAAAAAAAAACATTTGGAGATCGAAATCAATAAAAAGATCCCTTCTGCTAGTTTTCGAAAATGCGTGGGAAGTCAAATTTTTTTTATAGATTTTCAAAAATTGAGCTTTTGTTGAAATTGGCTGAAAATCTACAAAAAATTCTGAGATGTAGATCTCGACGAGTTTAGTCAAAAAACATAAGGTCTTGCTGCTATTCGGTTTCCAAGTCGACTTTTTAAAATTTCTCAAAAGTTATACTCCTATTTCTTTTGACGATTCTAGAAAAATTTTACAAATTTTCGATCAAATAAAACCAAAAACAACATCTGAAGATTGAAATAAATAAAAGAATGACTTTTGGTAATTTTTGGAAATGCTTAAGAAAAGTCAAAATTTATTTAGTTTTCAAAAATTGAGCTTTTGTTAGAGTTGACAAAAAATTCTGAAATATAGATCTCGATGAGTTTAATCGAAAAACATGTTCATGCTCCCGGAGCAAAATTTTGGAAATATTGGGTTTCTACCTAAAATTTCTAAAAAATCTCAAAAGTGACTTAAAAAAAAGTTATTTCTTTATGCGATTGTGGAAAAATTCGACGAAATATCAAAAAAATAAAACCAAAAATAACATCTGTAGATCGAAATCAATAAAGAGATCCCTTTTGCTAATTTTCGAAGATGCTTGGGAAAAGTCAAAAAATGTATATGGATTTTCAAAAATTGAGCTTTTGTTGAAATTAACAAAAAATCAACAAAAAATTCCGAGATGTAGATCTCGATGAGCTTAATCCAAAAACATAAGGTCTTTCTTGATGGTCCCAGATCAAGATTTTCGAAAAATTCGGTTTCAAAGTCGACATTTCAAAATTTCTCAAAAATTACATTTCTTTTGGCGGCTTTGGAAAAATTGTACAAATTTTCGAGAAAATAAAACCAAAAACAACATTTGGAGATCGAAATCGATAAAGAGATCCCTTTTGCTAATTTTCGAAAACGGTTGGGAAAAGTCAAAAACATTTTATAGATTTTCAAAAATTTAGCTTTTGTTGAAGTTGACTAAAAATCCACAAAAAAAATCTGAAATGTTGATCTCGACGAGCTCAATCAAAAAATACAAGGTCTAGATGGTCCCAGATCAAGATTTTCTAAACATTCGGTTTCAAAGTTCAAAAATTACATTTCGTTTGGCGATTGCTGAAAAATTTTACGACTTTTCAACCAAATAAAACCAAAAACAACATCTGGAGATCGAAATCAATAAAGAAATCCCTTTTGGTAATCTCGAACGTGCTTGAAAAAAGTCAAAAATTTGATACAGGTTCTCAAAAATTGCCATTTTTCTTCCGTCGATTCTGGAAAAATTGTAAGAATTTTCAAAAAAATTGAATCCAAAACGATTTTTGGAAATCGAGATGAACAAAGGAGTCTCTTTTGATAATTTTTGAAAATGCTTGGGAAAAGTCAAAAATTTTATATGGGTTTTTAAAAATTGAACTTTCGTAAAAGTTGACAAAAAATTCTGAAATATAGATTTGGACGAGCTTAAAAAAACATGACAGGTTCATGGTTCCGAATCAACATTTTCGAAATACTCGGTTTCGAGCTCGAATTTTCAAAATTTCTCAAAAATTACCATATTTCTTTTGGCGATTGTGGAAAAATTGTACGAATTTTCGAAAAAATAACCAAAAACAACATCTGGAGATCGAAATCAATAAAGGAATCCCTTTTGGTAATCTCGAACGTGCTTAAAAAAAAGTCAAAAATTTGATACAGGTTCTCAAAAATTGCCATATTTCTTCCGTCGATTCTGGAAAAATTGTAAGAATTTTCAAAAAAATTGAGTCCAAAACGATTTTTGGAAATCGAGATGAACAAAGGAGTCTCTCTTGATAATTTTTGAAAATGCTTGGGAAAAGTCAAAAATTTTATATGGGTTTTCAAAAATTGAACTTTCGTAAAAGTTGACAAAAAATTCTGAAATATAGATTTGGACGAGCTTAAAAACACATGACAGGTTCATGGTTCCGGATCAAAATTTTCGAAATACTCGGTTTCGAGCTCGAATTTTCAAAATTTCTCAAAAATTACCATATTTCTTTTGGCGATTGTGGAAAAATTGTACGCATTTTCGAAAAAACAACCAAAAACAACATCTGGAGATCGAAATCAATAAAGGAATCCCTTTTGGTAATCTCGAACGTGCTTGAAAAAAAGTCAAAAATTTGACACAGGTTCTCAAAAATTGCCATATTTCTCCCATCGATTCTGGAAAAAAAGTTAGAATTTTCAAAAAAATTGAATCCAAACCGATTTCTGGAAATCGAGATGAACAAAGGAATCTCTTTTGGTAATTTTCGAAAATGCTTGGGAAAAGTCAAAAATTTTATATGGGTTTCCAAAAATTGAGCTTTTGTTAAAGTTGACAAAAAATTCTGAAATACACATCTCGACGAGTTTAAAAAAACATGACGAGTTCATGGTTCCGTACCAAAATTTTCGAAATATTTGGTTTCGAAGTCGGATTTTTAAAATATGTACTAAACATCCAAAAAAATAAACTCAAACAAATTGGATGTTACCTATATGGTCACTACACAAATTTTTGGATGCAGTACAGCTGTTTGTGAATCTACATTCTCTGTTTTAACCAGCATTTTAACCAAGTACAGTACTAATTTTTTGGACTTCGACAGGTTTTTACGAAAATTTAGCGTAAAAAATCGACGTTTCCAATTATTTTAATGTTCTTTCAAATATAAAAACTCAGAAAAAATAAAGTAGTTATCTGAGTGTATTATTAAAATATAAATATTTACATGAAGCCCCCTCTGTCGACAAACTTGCCCCCCCTGAATAAGTTTTCTACGGGGCTGCCATTTATTAATAAAAATTTTCACGTGTATGTTTGGTTGCATAACTCAAGTAATTTAAATCTTTGAATTTTTAAAATAAATCATTCTTTTCCAGTGCGGACCTCCGCCCCCATCGCCATCCTCGTGACCTCCTCCCCCACCCCGTCCCCCGCCAAAATCAAGCGGTCGGCCGACCCCATCCTCTCCAAAACCTCCAACCTAGACCCCCTCCTCGGCTACAAGAACGTGGGGGAATCGCTCGACACCAACGACGTCGAGCTCGTCAACATCAAACCGTCCAGAACCGAGCACCACTACCACAGCAGCCGCGTGCACCAGACGGTCCTGTCGGGGGAAGGGCCGGGGGCTCCTCAAGGCCGGTCCTTGAAGGAGCCCCGGGAAATCTCGCCGACTGCCACGCTGCCGGCGACTACTGCTACGTTGCTCCCGAAAGCACGACAAGCCAACCCTGATATCCAGGACATCATCACGGGAATTGTTAAGCTTCTGAATGGGAACGTGAACGTGCAGGCGAACACCGCTCCCGTGATGGGGCGGCCGCTGAGGCCGCTTTCCACCAGGATTAATAACCGAGGTCCGCCGAGGATCACGGACGTGCCGGCGCTGCCGCCGGATTTTGATATACCGGCGCCGCCGCTGCCGCCGCCGCCGCCTCTAGGTCAGAAGCCGCCGCCAGTGCTGCCCACGAGGATCGCCACGCCGTACCCGTTTGATATCCCGCCGCACAACACGTCGCCGATTAAGAGACCGGGGGTGTACAGACCGGTGACGATACCTCCGTGGAGGAGGAAGCCGCCGAACAGGAGACCCATTCCGGTGTATAAGCCCATGCCGGCAGAAAGTATTAGTCTGACGACGGAAAAACCAGTTCATGATATTCTGACTTTGGATTTGGGGTCGCAACTACAACCCACAGAGGAGGTTGACGATGGCTACGAAGGTTACGAAGAAGTGAAGACTAATGGTACCGACGCGTCGGATGTGGATATCATCGACTTTGAAAAAAATAAGGAGAAGAGTACCTCGAAGATGAATAAGCATACGTCGGTGGTGCCATCATCTACTGGGAAGACCGACTTATACAAAACGTCTGTAGGGGTCAACGCGTCGGAACCATCTACGTCTATATCTACGTCTACGACAGTCAACACACAAACTTCCACGTCCCCTTCCACAGTGGAAGTGGAAGTTTCGTCTTCGACTTCTAAGTCGTCGACGATATCGTCATCCATTAAACCAACTTCCACGTTTAAATCAACGACTTCAACAAGCACCAGTTCTGTTAATATTTCTGCTACGACTTCAACACCACTGGTCAATGTTTCCTCTGCAATAGAACACAAAGGAGAAGCCACACCCATTCTAGAATCTTCCATACAAGAAGTCCTGCAAACCCTCAAGGAAGATTTATTGTCTACGACCCCTCTGACGAGCACCCCCACTGAACAACTGCCAAAAATATCCACCACACCCACCAACACTGTGACGACGGCCAGCTTGCAGACAAACTTGGCTTCCGGTAAGTCCACCACCAAATTCCGTCTGTCTGTCTGTCTGTCGTCTGTATCAATTTTTATTAGATACATAAACTTCAATTTACAATTTTATTTTTTAATTTCATAAATCAAGATACTCTTGCACTTGTGACGTATAAATGAGTGTTGAGTTTCACCCTAGACATCCAGATTTTTGTAAAAAAAAAATCAAAATTGTATAACAACATTTTACAATTTAGCTTTGAAAGCATAAAACCGAATGCTCTGAACTCTTGAAACGTTTTAGGTTATTGTAATATAAATCAAAATTTATTTGTTTATTGTCACCAAAAAATTGATGACGTCATCTAAAAATTTTTACTAATAAATCGTCTCTCAAATATGCCAAATATTGAAAAATTGAAAAATCGAGAAACTGAAAAATCTAAAATTGAAAAAAAGGAAAAATTATAAAATCAGACCTTAACGAAAAAATGGAGTCGAAAATTTGAAGAAATGGAAAATTAAAGAATCGAAAAATTGCATAATTAAGAATTAAAAATTCCTGAAATTACAAATAGAAAAATTGAAAGCAGAAGCCACGCCCACCCACCCCCTCTTCGTTCCAGTGACTACTCTTAATATTGTTGAGTCTTATCTTGGCAGGTTTAAGCCCCGCCCATACAGCATTTATCTTCTTAGAGGGTATGTCATTTCATTTCCTATAATCAGTCTTAGTTTAGCATGTATTAGCCCCACCCACCCACCCTTTATTTACTTAGGGTATGTCATTTACCAAAATCAGTTCTACCTAGACCAAGTACTAGCTCCGCCCACTTTCATTCTGACTAGATAAAATGAGTCACTGAAATGGAGGAGGGGTGGGTGGGCGGGGTTAATTACATGTTCTTTTGTAGAGTGGGAATGGAAACTAATAGAACGCAGAGTGTTAAAAAAAAGACAAAAAAATGCTAATCGTAATTTTTTTGCTGTACTATTTGCTATAAAATTTATTTCTTATTTCAAAAGAAAAAAATAAGGAAACGGGTGGGTGGGGGGGCTATGTTAAACTTTTTCTTTCATTGTATTTTATAAGCAAACAATAGCCCTTCCCACCCACCACCTCCTCTTTATTCCACTGATTACTCTTAATATTGTTCGCTCATTTACCAAAATCAGACGTATCTTATCAAATACTAGCCCCGCCCACCCCCCTCTATTTTCTTAGAGGCAATGTGATTTGCCACACTGAGTCTTACCTTAGCTAGTACTGACCTGACCTGAATTGAAAAAATTAAAAACTCGGGAAATTTTATATGAAAAAAGAACTGAAGAAACAAAAATTATAAAATCTAAACACTGAAAAATCGGATAATAGAAAAATAGATTAATTGAAAAATTAAGAAAATAAAAATTCAAAACTCGAGAAACTCATACGAAAAATTCAAAATTTAAAAATTGAAAAATTTCACAGTGCAAAAGAACAATTATAAAATTAGAACATTCTAAACCCCTAATAAAGAAACTAAAAGAACTAAACTAAAAATTGGAAAAGATATGGAAAATTTAAAAAATCGAAAAATTGAAAAATTAAAAATTTAAACTCGTGAAATTGCAAATCATAGCAGTATAAATCCGTGATATGCTCTTTGTATTTCACTTTTAATTTTTTTTTTAAGTTCTTTAAATTTATCGAGATGATACAATAGTCCGGATTTTCTGTACCTACTCCAGTGATGCCTTTTTTGTTTTATCATGTTAATTATAAGTTTGGTAAACCAAATCGGATGGTCACTCCTTTTGGAATTACTTTTCCTTATTAGTGGAACTGTCTGAACAAACTTTTCATGCAATGTGTTATAAAAGTAGTCTCTTCTTTCATAATTATCTTTTTTTTATTAAAGAACTTAAAAAAAATTGTTTTCTTTGAAAAATTATAAAAAAAAATGCGATTTATTTTGTTTTCTGAAAGCCTCTACAAAGTAAAAACCAGTTGTCAACAATTGTTCAATTTTTCAATTTTCCAAATTTTAAATTTTTCGATTTTTTTATTTTTGTTTTTGTTTCCGCTTGAGTTTCTCGAGTTTTCAATATTTAATTCTTCAGTTTTTCGAACTGCAATTTTTCGTTACAGCTCCTTTTTTCGGTTATTCGATTTTTCAGTTTTTCGTTTCTTTAGTTTTTTCTTCAATTTTTCATGTTTTTCTTTATTCTTTTGAGATATTGCAATTTGTCGATTTAAGATTTCTCGAGTTTTCAATTTCCAATTTTCTAGTTTTTCGATTCACCAATTTTTGATTTATTCAGATTTTCGATTTGCAATTTTTCATGTCGCTTTTTTGTTTTCTCTAGTTTTAGAATTTTCCGAATTTGTAATTTTTCAATTTCAATATTTTGAATTTTTCAATCTGCAATTTTTCGATTTTCAAAGTTTTGGATGTTTTAAATTTTGCAATTTTTTATTTTCTTTATTTTTTCAATGTTCTATATTTCAATTTCTTTTTTTAATGTGAATTTTTTCAAATTTTTAATTTTTCGATTTTTCAATGCTAGTTTTTCGACATTACAATTTTGACGATTCTATTATTTTCCGATTTTACAATTGTGGGTTTTCCGATTCTTTGATTCGATTCGTTTTTTCTTCTTTCCAATTTATCGATTCATTTTTTTTTCGATTTTTGAGTTTCTCTGTTTTTAACTCTCAATTTTGAGTTAATTTTGTTAAAAAGTGTTTCAATTTTTCGATTTTACAATTTTTCGTTTTTTTCAATTTTTCAGAATTTCAGTGTTCCGATTTTATGTTTCTTATTACAATGTGAACTGTTTTAAATTTTGGATTTTTCAATTTTTGATTTTCAATTTTTCGATTTCTCGGTATTTAATTTTTTAGTTTTTCGATTTTTCAATGTTACAGTTTTTCTTTCCAATTTTTCGATTAACTTTTTTTTCGTGTTTTAAGTTTCCCGATTTTTAAGTGTCCCAATTTTGAGTTTTCAGTGTTTAAATTTTTCGATTTTCCACTTTTCCAATTTTGCAATTATCAACATTGTTTTTATACTTTTGCGATTCTTAATTTTTCCATTTTTGAACTCTTCGAATCAAAAAAATAGAAAAACTGCAAAATTGTAAAATTGAAAAATCAAAAATAAGAAAATAAAAAATTTAAAAAAAAGGAAGAAAGAAAAAATTGAAAATTCGAAAAATCAAAAATTGAGAAACTTAAAAAATATAAATCAAGATCTTGCAAAATTGAGGAAACCAAAAATTACAAAATTGAAATTTTAAATGAAAAAAGAACTGAAGGAACAAAAATTATAAAATATAAACACTGAAAAATCGGATAATTGAAAAATTAAAACTTTAAACTCGTGAAATTGCAAATCGAAAAATTCAAAGCAGTAGCCCCGCCCACCCACCCCACTCTTCATTCCAGTGACCACTCCTAATGTTGCTGCGTCTTATCTTAGCAAGTTTAGGCCCCGCCCAACCACCATTTATTTTCTTAGAGGGTATGTCATTTGCCAGAATCAGTCTTATCGTAGCAAGTATTAGTCCCGCCCACCCACCCTTTATTTTCTTAGGTTATGTGATCTACCAAAATCAGTTCTATCTTAGCTCCGCCCACCCTCGCTGTTCTCATTCTAATGATTTTATTTCTATTGAGTATAAGATCCACGTTTCATTCTGATTGGATAAAGTGAGTCACTGAAATGCAGGAGAGGTGGGTGGGAGGGGTTAATTGTATGTTTTTTGATAGAGTGGGAATGGGAACTAATAGAACGTATAGGCTGTTAAAAAAAAGACAAAAAAGTGCTAATCGTAATTTTTTTATTGTACTATTTGCTATAAGATTTATTTTTTATTTCAGAAGAAAAAAAATAGAGAACGGGTGGGTGGGCGGGGCTAAATTTAGCTTTTCCTTTCAGAGTCTTGTATAAGCAAGCAATAGCCCCGTCCACCCACCCCCTCTTTATTCCAGTAATAATATATTGTTCAATCATTAGCAAAAACAGTCTTATCTTAACAAATACTAGCCCCGCCCACCCGGCCCCTATTAGTCTTATCTTAGCAAGTATTGACTGACCTGACCTAACCTGAAAAATATTGAAGAAAGGAAAAATTGATAAAATTAAAATTAAAAAAACAAAAAAATGATAAAAGCAAAACGTTGAAAATTTGAATAATTGAAAAAATTAAGACAATAACAAACCGAAACAAAAAAAATCGAAGGCATGAAAATTGAAAAATTGAAAAATTAAAAAATTACATATCCAAAACTCGGGAAATCGAAAAACTGCATAATCTAAAAACCGAAACATCCAAAACTTGGAAAATCGAAAAACTAAAAAAAATTGTAAAATCAGAATATTGAAAAACCGAAAAATTGAAAAAACGAAGAAAATAAAAACCGAAATGAAAATTTCAAATCGAAAATTTGAATAATGAAAAATTGAAAACTCCTGAAATTGCAAATCGAATAATAGTACGCAGTAGCTTACATTTTGCCTTTTTTTCTTAGCATCTTAGCCATCTTTTCACAACAAGAAACTTAGAACAAGGTTAAAATGGTACATTTTTGCAAGAAAATATGGATTTTGCAATAATGGGGGGAGCCTAATTGCAAAAACGATATTTCTTTATAAAAATTTTCCAATTTAAACATGTTTGAAGTTTCATATTCTGAAAAGAAGTGTACACATATTAAAACAAGAAGCAAAATGTAAGCCCGCCCACCCGCCCTGTCTCAATTGTGATGATTTTTTTATTCGCCGTCAACCAAGAGGGCGGAGCTCAGCTTCAAAATACTTATTTCTTTGCAAGAAATTAAAAACATGTTTTTGAGTATTGTGTTGTTCAAAGAATGCTATGAATATTAAGAAAAAAGGCAAAATATAAACCCCACCCACCCACCCTATCTCAATTGTAATGATTTTTTTTATTTTTAGAAACTTAAAACACATTTAAAGTGGTAAATTTTTGAAAGGAAATATGGATTTTAGAGTTAGGCTTTGCCCCTCGGCTTACGACGAATAAAAAAAATCATCAGAATTGAGATGGGGTGGGTGGGTGGGGCTTATATTTTGCCTGTTTTCTCAATATACGTGGTCGTTTTTTCATTACAAGAAACTTAATACATAGTTAAAATGGTAAATTCTTGAAGACAAATATGAATCTTTCAATTAAGCCCCGCCCCTCGATCTGACAACTAATGAAAAATTCATCACGATTGAGATGCAGACGGATGGGTGGGGCTTCTCTTTTGGTTTTCTTTTTTAATTAATACATTTAGTTTTCTTTATATAACACGATTACGTAAGAACTTATTTCATATGGTAATTTCTCGTAAAAAAAATAAGGACTTTACAATTAAGCTCGGCCCTTTGGCTTACGATCAATAAAAAAATCATCAGAATCGAGATAGGGTGGGTGGGCGGGGCTTATAGGTTGCTTTGAGATTCATTTTTTTTCTTTTCTTTTAATTTTTGGGAATTTTTGTAATTTGCAAAATTTTCAAAATTTTTAGAATGTTCACATTTTCCAAATTAGCCCAATTTTTCAGATTTTCCGAAGTACACAAAATGAGCAGAATTTCCACATTTTCCAAAATTTCTAAAATTACCAGGCCCCAGTTATACCAGAATAAAAAAATCATCAAATTTGAGTTAGGGTGGGTGGGCGGGGCTTACTTTTTCTTTTTTTTTCTTAGCATCTCAGCCATCTTTTCACAACAAGACACTTAGAACAAGGTTAAAATGGTACATTTTTGCAAGAAAATATGGATTTTGCAATAATGGGGCGGAGCCTAATTGCAAAATCGATATTTCTTTACACAAATTTTCCACTTTAAACATGTTTGAAGTTTCATGTTCTGAAAAGAAGTGTACACATATTAAAACAAAAAGCAAAATGTAAGCCCGCCCACCCGCCCTGTAGACAATTGTGATGATTTTTTTATTTGTCGTGAACCAAGGGGGCGGAGCTTAACTGCAAAATACTTATTTCTTTGCAAGAAATTAAAAACATGTTTTTGAGTATTGTGTTGTTCAAAGAATGCTATGAATATTAAGAAAAAAGGGCAAAATATAAACTCCACCCACCCTATCTCAATTGTAATGATTTTTTTATTTTTAGAAACTTAAAACGCATTTAAAGTGGTAAATTTTTGAAAGGAAATATGGATTTTGCAGTTAGGCTTTGCCCCTCGGCTTACGACGAATAAAAAAAATCATCAGAATTGAGATGGGGTGGGTGGGTGGGGCTTAAAAAAATCATCAGAATTGAGATAGGGTGGGTGGGTGGGGCTTATATTTTGCTTTAAGATTCAATATTTTTTTCTTTTCTTTTAATTTTTGGGAATTTTCGTAATTTGGAAAATTTTCAAAATTTTCAGAATGTTCCAGATTTTCCAAATTAGCCCAGTTTTTCAGCAAGGGCACATATATCAATTTAGTATTAATAGACTCCTTAGGGTTTTGGCACCCTTAGAACCTTCGAAATCTTTGAAATTTAGAGAAGACTTTGAACTTGTACTATTTGGAGTACTATAATTTATTGTGTAAAGTGGGAATGAAAATTAACAGAGCGTAGGCTGTAAAAAAATACAAAAAAGGACTAATCGAATTTTTTTGTGATCCTATTTGCTATATAAGAACGGGCGGGTGGGCGGGGTTAAGTTTAATTTTTTCCTCTAGTCTTTTATAATCAAACAATGGCCTTGCCCACTCATCCCCTCTCCATTTCAGCGATCACTCTTAATATTGTGCAGACATTTACTAAAATCAGTCTTATCTTAACAAACATTAGCCCCGCCCACCCGCCCTCTATGTTCTTAGAGGATATCTCATCTGCCAAAATCAGTCTTATCTTAGCAATTACTAACCGGACCTGACCTAAAAAGAATTGAAAACTGAAAAATTTTAAGTCGAAAAAATCACGAAAGGAAAAATTGAAAAAATTAAATTTGAAAAAACAAAAATAATACAATCGAATAATTGAAAAAATAAAAAACCGAAACGAAAAATTGCAAATTGAAACTCAGGAAACTCAATACGAAAAATTGCAAAATTCAAATTTGGAAAAATGAAAAACTGAAAAATTTAAATTTGAAAACTCGAAAAATTTTATAATTACAATTTTTGTCTTTAATCAGCTCCAGACAACAAAACCTCCAGCCAAGGCTTCCCCTACTACCCCTACCGCCCCCGGCCCGGCATCGTCCTCGACGACACCGAGTACAAGCCCGGCGGCAGCCACCGCCAACCCATCATGACCCGCCCCCCCATCGGCCAGCTCGGCGACATCTTCGACATCACCGTGTCCGCCATCCAAGGACCCGGAGGCTCGTCCACAAGCCACGTCAAACCCTACATCGTCCCCGGCCACAACGACGACGTCATCACCAGCCCCATCGGCGCCGAGGGCTTCGTTTCCATCGACGGCAAGCGCACCTACTTGAACCTCTTCGGGGACGGCAACGCGCCTTCCACGTCTGCGGCTCCCGTGATCAAACCTAGTGCTCCCTCTAACAACCAGGTGACCGGGACGGGGTACGCGGTGGTCGACAACGAGAAGCACAAGCAGAACCTGGGGTCGGTGAAGCCCACGCAGAGGAGACCGATTTATGGGAGACCCAGACCCAGTCAGCCGCCGGTGCGCATCGACACTTGCATCGTTGGGGATGACTCCACTTGCGACGGGTCGCAGCACGAGGTGTGCAGAACCGAGGCTGGGGTTAGCGCTTGTCATTGCAGGCCGGGGCATGCTCGGAGGAAGCACAGGGAGCCGTGTAGGAAGATCGTGTCGGTGTTGTTGTCTTTGAGGGTGGATAGGTTGTATGAGAGGAGGATCGTGTGGGCTAACGAGCTGGGGGATAAGAGTAGTGATAGTTATCAGCAGTTGGCGTACGAAGCGGAGCGAGCTGTGAGTACTAGTACTAGACGAGAAGTGGTTAATTTTCGATGTTTGTGCTTGCAGTTGGACTCTGCCATGTCGATGACTCCTTTCAGCGACGAATTCCTGGGTGCCAAAGTCAATAGTATTTACCGAGGCGAACGATCAGCGGGTCAACCTGGAGTCTTCGTCAATTTGACTCTCCAGTTGGACGAAAACGCAGAAACTTCCAGATCGTCGGTTCGAGGCGACATCCAGAAGCACCTCCTGGGTGTGATTCAACGACGGAGCAACAATGTTGGCAATAGTGCTTTATGGGTGGACAGTCCCCCAGGCTCCATCTCCAATTTGCAAGACTTGGATGAGTGCTCATCACCGGAACTCCACGATTGTCACTCTTTGGCTAGATGTATCAACATTTTCGGGGGTTTTAGGTGTGAGTGTGGCGACGGCTACAGAGACCTATGGGCGGACAGCAAGCACAGAGCTGGGAGGCAGTGCGAACAGTGCTCCCCGCAACACTGCAACAACCGGGGGGAGTGTAAATACCAAAACGGACAAGAAGTCTGCGTGTAAGAAAACTTGCTTATTACTTTATTACTGAGCTTAAGTTAAGATCTGTCTGTTTGTCTGCCGCCTGTCCAAATTTTTACTAGACAAATGATCTCCGAAACTACAAGACTGATTGTTGTCAAATATTGTATGTCAACCAAAGTTCTGTTTATCACCAGCGGTGATATAACGTCATCTTCAAGTTTTAATAGAAAACGTTTTTAAAATTTTGTAAAATAACACTTGTAATTTATGAAACCGTGTTAAGTTTTACCCCAGGCGTTCAGATTTTCGTAAAAAAAATCAAAAGTGTAGGGGAAAGGTGCCTAAAATGATCCCCCTAAGGGAGAATTTCTTTAAAAAATACAAATTATTGTTATTCATGTAAAACTGTAGCATTATTTATAAGAACATTGATTTATCTAGGTAACAGTATAAGCCAATTGGTGATTCGATAATAATTATAAAAAAACTTATTAACGCTTTTCCAGGACCTTACAAAAGGATCATTTTAGGCATCCCCATAGGTAAAATGATCCCTCGGCATGGCCATAATGATCCCTTTGAATTTTGACCATAAGGGGACAGCATCAACAAGAAAAATCAAATCATGACATAACTGATAAATATTTTATTTCAAAAATTAACAAAAAAATAAATTCCTAAAAAAAAATAAACAAAAAAAGTTTGAAAAGCATCGAAAATACTTATTTCAGAGTCTTTATAAGCAAACAATAGCCCCGCCCACCCACACCTTATTGATTGCAGTAACTCCTGTTATTATTATTGAGTCTTATCTTGACAAGTTTTAGCCCCGCCCACCCACCCTATATTTTCTTAGAGGTTATGTTATTTACCAAAATCAGTTCTGTTAACAGGCACTAGCCCCGCCCCAGAATGGGTGGACGGGGTTAATTATATGTTCTTTTGTACAGTGGGAATGGGAACTAATAGAACGTAGACTGATAAAAAAAAAGAAAAAAAGTATTAATCGTAACTTTTTGTTATATTATTTACTGTAAGATTTATTTCTTATTTAAGAAGGAAAAAAAGTGAGAGAACGGGTGGGTGGGCGGTTCTAAGTTTAACTTTTTACTTCAGTCTTTATAAGCAAGCAATAGGCCCGCCCACCCACCCCCTCTTCATTCCAGTAATTACTTTTAAAATTGTCGTTTACCAAATTCAGTCTTACGTTAACAAATACTAGCCCCGCCCACCCATCCTTTACTTTCTTAGAGGTTATGTAATTTGCCACAATCAGTCTTATTTTAGCGAGTACTGATCTGACCTGAAAAAATTGAAAAGTTCGGAAATGTCAAATCAAAATAAATCAGGAAACGGAAAAACAAAAATGATAAAATCGAAACACCTATAGAAAGCATCGAAAATACGGGGTGTATAATTTCTGGAAGAGTTTGAGACAATACTTTAGTCATCAGTACGTGCTAAGATAAGACTAATTTTGCCAAATAGGATACCCTCCAAGAAAAGAGAGGGCGGGTGGGCGGGCGTACTACCTGCTAAGATAAAACTGAATTTGGCAAATGATATACCCTCTAAGAAAAGAGAGGGTGGATGGGTGGGGCTAGTAACTGCTAGGATAAGACTGAATTTGGCAAATGATATACCCTCTAAGCAAAGAGAGGGTGGGTGGGTGGGGCTAGTAACTGCTAAGATAAAACTGAATTTGGCAAATGACATACACTCTAAGAAAAAAGAGGGTGGGTGGGTGGGTGGGGTTAGTAAGTGCTAAGATAAGACTGAATTTGGCAAATGATATAGCCTTTAAGAAAAGAGAGGGCGGGTGGGCGGGTCTACTAACTGCTAAGATGAAACTGAATTTGGCAAATGATATACCCTCTAAGAAAAGAGAGGGTGGGTGGGTGGGGCTAATACTTGCTAATATAAAACTGATTTTGGCAAATGAGATACCCTTTAAGAAAAGTGACGGCAGGTGACTGGGATTAGTACCTCTTAAGACTGAGAATTTCCCAAAAATAGAACACGAAAATCCCTAAAATTCTTTTAAATTATTTAAATTTCCCCGTCTTAAGAGGTACTAGCTCCACCCACCCTCCCTCTCCTCTCTTAGAGGGTATTTCATTTGCGAAAGTCAGTTTTATTTTAGCGGGTAGTAGGTGGGTGGGGCTAGTAACTGCTAAGATAAAACTGGTATTGGCAAATGGTATTCCCTCGAAGAAACTAAAGGGTGGGTGGGCGGGCTTAGAGGATATGTTATCTGCAAAAATCAGTCTTATCTTAGCAGGTACTAGCCCCGCCCACCCACCCTCTCTATTCTTAGAGGGTATATGATTTGTAAAAATCAGTCTTATCTTAGCAGGTACTAGCCCCGCCCAATAATCCGGGATCATTTTGCCTCAAGAAAAAGGGATCATTTCGCCTTAGGTAGCATATCCGCATTCAAAAATTATAAACTAACTTTCAATTTTTACATGCGGTAAAAAGATCATAACTAACCTACGACTGAAATGTATCTAATTCTGTCAAAACAACTACGACCGCTATAAGAACTTTCAAATGGAAGTAATGGACTTTTAAAATATATCTTACCTTAGATCAGAGGTGCTTATTTTACATATTTTGGCACAAAACTGTGCAGAATACACAGAACGCCATCAAACTTTCAGAAGCTACTAATTACAGAGCGCTTAATCAAATGACAGTTATGTTTAGTAGATGGACCCACAAATTTTCTTACAATTGATGGGAATCATTTGACCCGAGGGGATCATTTTAGGCACTTTTCCCCTATAAGAATGCTCTGAAACCTTGTAAATTTTTATGGTTAGCCTTCTCAAAATTTTGTCAAATAAATCGTATCTAAAATGTACAGCAAATGGTAAGTCTATGTTTGTCATTCTAAAAAACCGAAACGAAAAGTTGCAAATTGAAAAATTTTAAACTTGTGAAATTGCAAATCGAAAAATTGAAAGAAGTAGCCCCACCCACCCACCCCGTCTCCGATGACTACTCTTAATATTGTTGAGTCTTATCTGCCAAGTTTTAGCCCCGCCCACCCACCCCGTGTTTATACAGATGACTACTCTTAATATTGTTGAGTCTTATCTTAGCAAGTTTTAGCCCCGCCCGCCCACCCTTTATTTTCTTAGAGTATATGTCATTTGCTGCAATCAGTCTTATCTTAGCAAGTTTTAGCTTGTAAGTTTGAGTATAAGATCCATCGTTCATTCTGACCAAATAAAATGAATCACTGAAATTGACGCGGGGTGGGTGGGCGGGGTAAATTATATGTTCTTTTGTAGAGTGGGAATGGAAACTAAAAAAAAAGACAAAAATTGCTAATCGCGATTTTTTGTTGTACTATTTGCTATAAGATTAGTTCTTATTTTAGAAGAATAAAATGAGAGAACGGGTGGGTGGGCGGTTGGGGCTATGTTTAACTTTTTCGTAGGGAAGCTTTTATAAGAAAGCCCACCCACCCATTTTTCATTCCAATGATTACTTTGAATATTATTCAGTCACTTACCAAAATCAGTCTTATCTTAACAAACACTAGCCCCGCCCACCCGCCCTTTATTTTCTTAGAGGGTACGTAACTTGCCACGATCAGTCTTATTTTAGCAAGTACTGATCTGACCTGAAAAAAATTGAAAACTTCGGAAATGTCAATTCAAAATAAATCAGGAAACGAAAAAACAAAAATGATAAAATCGAAACACCTATACCCATTATCACATTAATATACTGGTAATTTCCAAAAATGAACCAATAATTTTTAATAAAAAGCTGAATTCATATCAACAATCAATAAATTGAATTTATTGAAAAATTGAATAATTGAAAAAATAAAGAACTCTAAAAACGCGAAACATGTTTGAAAGAAACGGGATTTGTTGAGCCGTACTTCAGGGAGAAGTTTTATCGAAATAACCCCCGGCCAATTTTGTGTTTAGTCTTGCATAAAAAAAATTTAAAGATGAAAATTCTACGAGTTACATACCGTAAAAATTCAAGGAACAAAAAAATGAAAAATTGAAAAAAAGAAAAATTATAAAATCAGAACATTGAAAAATCGACACACTGAAAAAATAAAGAAAATAAAAAACCGAAACGAAAAATTGCAAATCGAAAAGTTGAAGAAATGGAAAATTTAAGAATGGAAAAAATCGAATAATTAAACTGAAAACTCCTGAAATTGCATATCGAACAAATGCAAGAAGTAGTCCGCCCACCCACCCCTCTTTATTCCAATGACGACTCTTAACATTGTGGAATCATAGTAAGTTTTGGCCCCGCCCACCCACCCTTTTTTTTTAAAGACTATGTCATTTACCAAAATCAGTCTTATCTTAACAAATATTAGCCCCGCCCACCCACCCTCTCTTTTCTTAGAGGATATGTAATTTGGCATAATTAGTCTTATCTTAGCAAGTATTGACCTGACCTGACCTGAAAAGAATTGGAAACTCGGGAAATTTTAAATTGAAAAATTTATAAAAAAAAATTGAAAAAATTAAAATTGAAGAAACAAAAAATGATAAAATCGAATAATAAGACAAATTAATAAACTATTAATTTCCAACAATGAACTAATAATTTTTAATCAAAAGACTGCATCCATATCAACAATCAATAAATTCATTAATTGAACTGATTGAAAAATATTATATAATTGAAAAAAATAAAGAAAATAAAAAACCCTAAAAATTTTTGAAAGAAGCGGGATTTGTTGAGCCGCACTTCAGGCGAGAGGGAAGTTCTATCGAAATGACCCCCGACCAATTTTGTGTTTAGTCTTTCACCAAAAAAATTTAGAGATGAAAATTCCAAGAGTCATCTAGCGTGAAAATTAAAGAAACAAAAAAAATGATAAAATCAGAACATTGCAAAACCGAAAAATTTTAAAAATAAAGTAAATAAAAAACTGAAACGAAAACAATGCAAATTGAAAAGTTGAGGAAATGGAAAATGAAACAATGAAAAAATTGAAAAATTGAAAATTCCTGAAATTGCATATCGAACAAATACAAGAAGTAAC